TCTGAAGGTCATGTTGACCAAAATTATACCAGACTGCTTTGAGTTTTGCATTTGAATAAGTGACAAAGATTACACTAAGCAGTATGTTTCTAAAACAAAATTTTGACCCGGGTCATTTTGGGTCAATGACCTATTTTGACCTCTGAGAAGTGCATGGAAGATGTATAATGCGGCTCCTGCTTTCAATAAATTCGAAATGAGCACCAGAAACTATCCCATACAGCGAACCCTGGGGTAATAAAACAGGTTGGTTTTGGCCTTGGTCTGACCTTCATACCTGACCTTAGGTCAACGTACTTTGCTCATTCAAGATTTGTGTGGCCTAAGAAACTATCTCAGGGATGCATGACTTCGTCTAACACTCCGTTTTTGCACCAGACTGGACAATTCCCCAGAAATTGACTTCGCTGAGACCATGGCCTGGCTTCGACCTGCCATAGCTTAGCGACCTTACAATGTGATGCCGGACGATCCGCTATTCAATTGTCTACAGCTACGCAAAATTTGGCGCCGCTACGTCGCGCCGTTCGGAAACCATTCTGGAAAAACCTTCCGGGGGTCAATTTGAGCCGCACCCGGGCACGTGTAACAATGGTCCCAAAACAAGCTTTTTGCAAGATTTAGGCCACTTTCTTCTGAGAGTTGGGAGATCTAGAGCGCCGCCGTCAACTGGAAAGCAAGCGACAACCGTAGTCCAGTTATTGGTCAAGCAATAATCGAAGACAGCCAAACAGCGAACGGCTAAACAATGAACGGCAGCCCAGGTGGCGGCCGGTCACTCTACACTGTTCTTGAGAAGAGCGCCCATCTCATCCACAGCAAGACCATGTGATGCCAGCTAACTGTGCAGCAGCGTGGGCCACGAGCGGTACACTAGCTGCTGTTGCTGGCGCACACCAAACACCGATGTGCTCAGACAAGAGACCCAGCTACAAGTCATCAGAGACAGGCCGAGGCTGCACTCCGTCAGAATTTGGATTGGTTAACATCACACAGGACAGCTCGAGAACGTGAGCAGGAGTCGCGACTGATTATGCTATGTTGACCGGCTGAAGCGGTCAACAACCCCGGGCCAAGCGCCGACGGTCAGCGGGTTCGTCGGCGTCACGAGGTTAAGCGCCCCGACAGTGGTGCTCTCTGTAGATTTGGTTCACATCTGCAGAGAACATCTAGAGATTAATCACGCGAGCCGTAACCGACAGCAGCTGGTCACGGAGAGCTGAAGAAAACCAGCACCGTGGCACGGCTGGACCCGCTCAGGAGTTCTGTGCGGTTCTCGAGCTGTCCTGTGTGACGTGACAACCTACTGTTAGTTGGGGGGATTTCCTGACACAATGGTCTTTAAACTTAACAGATAACAGGCGAAATTATTGGCCGGGTGTACTATTTCTAGGGTGATGTTACGCTCGTACGATGATTTCCGAATAACGTCAATACATTTTCGTAGTTTTACCGTTTTTCCCGTAATGGCACACTTCCCGATGTGCCATTTCCACGCAAAAATCAAATAGGCTCTTTCGCATCCTACGCTTTCGCTTTGCTGTCAAGAGATAAAATCAATCAACAAATTTAAACAAAACTTATTTTCTACCAAACATCGAACAACATCAATTGGCTTGGCGCCAACTTACGATGAAGCATTTTTCACAATGGCCCGTGCGCTTTTCACTATTCGCGCAGCGTGCGTAATCGACACATACCGGGCTCGCTACCTTGAACACAAAAGCTGAAATCCTTCCCTAAAGGTCACACACATAATCAGCTGGCTTGATGCAATCTTCAGAGGTGTACACATGCCACACCCTCTCGCAAGCGTGCTGTAGCGCATGCCCGAGTTCTTCACATGTACGGTGGTCCAGTCCGGCCGCTCTGCTGTCAGTGCTAACCAAGACTAACCTGCCGTGCTGCGGGTTTACACCTGTTTTCTGTAACGCTGAGGCGCGCGGCTCACCTTCTAAATGACATTGCATTTCGTATGTGACCTTCACGGCTTCAATATCACAGATACATACCGTAATATCGGGTGCATGTGATATATATATATATATATATATATATATATATATATATATATGTATATATCGCTATAGAGATCGCTCCAGTGAAAGCCTCCATCAATCGCTCTTGGGCATTCCCATCGCTTAAATCATTGCTCGGTGGCATTGCCGTTATGAGATACCATGCGAGAACCAAAATGCACTGAAGAAGCAACTTATATTTTCCACGCATCCCGGTCACGTGCGTCATTTACACCTTCGAACCACGCCTTCACTCTTGTTCGACTGCATGGCTTGGGACTTAATTGAAGTGCCGCCCAGTGCGTATGGATAGAGCTCAACAGCCAGGTCGCCGCTCTATTCAGCGGTACGGATCGTGGACTAACACACGTTCAGGAAGGGGTTAAACTGTCCCCCCCCCCCGAACGTTTTTCCAAAATGGCTTCCGAGCGAGGCGGCGTAGCCACTCCAAATTTGTGTAGCTGTAGGCAATTGAATAACAGATCATTCGGTATTAAGAATGTAGATGTATCTTGTAAGTTCACTGACCTATGGCAGGTCAAAGTCAAGCCATGGTTTCAGTGAAGGCAATTTCTAGGGAATCGTTCAATGTGATCCAACGACGGAGTGTAAGATGAAGCCATAATTTCTGTGATGCTTTCTTAGGCCACACAAATATTGAATGAGCAAATCATGTTGATCTAAGGTTAGGTATGAAGGTCAGACCAATGTCAAAGCCAACCTGTTTCATTACTCTAGGGCTCGCTGCGTGGGATAGTTTCTGGTGCTCAATTCGAATTTATTGATAGCAGGAACCGTATTATATAACTTTCATGGATTTCTTAGAGATCAGAATAGGTCATTGACCTAAAATGATCCACGTCAACATTTTGTTTTTCGAAACATACTGCCCAGCGTAATTCTTGTCGCTCATTCAAATGCCAAACTCAAAGCAGTCCTGTATGATTTTGTTCACCATGACCTTCAAAAGGTCAAACAAGGTCACTTACCCTAAATGAGCATGTGAACTTTTGCTCGCAAACAGTTATCTGGTACTGGGGGCACTTTGGAGACCAACCTGGAATTTGACCTTGTTTGACCTTATTTGACCCGAAAGTCATGACCTAGGAACATCAAACCTTGACTTAGTAATTTCACGTACAGGTCAACACACCCTGCAAATTTAGTGTCTTTAGCTTTTTTAGTTTCCGAGATCTCACAGGGATCAAATTGCCCCCCCCCCCCCCACACTCGATCGAAGGGTATTTAGCAGGCCACCAGGGCGCGTGCTAGTACTGCCGCGAAGCTCACAACAAAAACAAACGTATTGCATGCAACATCACTCGTAGAAAGTCACAGCGAAAGCCCATAACCCTCTGAGTAATTTCATGGCCTAATGCTCCGAAGACCTCTGCTTGTGTATTTTTTCTGAGATTCTGAGAAGCATCGTGGTGTTGGCGTCCGCTCTTTGTTAGTAGCGATTGCGTCCCGCTTAGTGGAGAAAATTTACTGCGTTTGTCCCGGTCGGGTCCACGTGCCCTGCTGCCGAGGTCGGCGTTCTGCACGTGTCGCAGATAGTCCAGGCCCGGTTTGTTTGTCTTGCCATCACTGGACGAACCCTCGACCTCGGTGATCTGGCGAGCAACGGTGCAAGTCGCTGCCAGCACTCCCCCCCCCCCCCCCCCCCCCCCGGATCGGAACAGCCCGAGTCTCGGCAATAACAGCCCGTAATAGTCGAGACGCACCATTGTCAAAGGCGGTCGCTGGAAACAGGCGAGTGTACGGAATCTTTACTTTTTTAAAGGCATCACCGAAACGTGTTTTGGCAGCGGGCGTGGAGAGCTGCTACATCACCCTTTGAGCGATGCCCTTTCTTTTCGCTGGCCGTCCGCTCTCAGCGCGTCAATATTCCCTCAATAGTTTGATTTTGAGTAGAGTGGTTCCCAAAAAGATTTCAAAATATAAGATAGAGAATAATCTAAATTCTGGCCCTATTGACGAGACATCGTTCTTGTGGGATGATTTCTTCTCAAACTGCATTTATTTCTTGAAGTATATTTCTGGTATCTGGCTGGACATTCCCCGCACAAGATTCACTGGTGCATGTGGGGAAATGAGAAGCCTGTAGTGAACCTGGTTCTTGTTCCACATTCTAGTCAACTTTAAGGAGAGTCAGAACATTTCATAAGCCTGCTGGCGTACCCCTGTTTTGCATAACTTTAAACGTGCCCAAGCCTACCCCAGATTGTTAAGAAAGCACTTTGCCTAATACGTGGATTCCCCCGCTCGACACGTTTTACGTCCCTTTTACTCGATACGATACGATACGTCCCCACAATTCTACCTAGCCCGTAAAGGCCTTACGAGTCAGGGGCCTAATTTCAGTGCGGTTTCACGGGCGCTGTACACAGGCTGTCAAACTGTCGCCGAAACTGAGCGCATGTTCAGGCACAGTGAAGTGTTTCAGTATTGTGCGATAGATATGGAAATAATCCAGTAGGAACTTCAATTTGTTTTCTGAACACTAGCCAGCATTAGGTGCCTGCGTGTGTTCAGCCTCGACAGCAGGCAGCAGCAGCGGCAGCAGCTCGGCGGCATGTGATCTTGTTCTGAGTTCTCTGCGACACTGCCGTACAAACCATGCACTGGCACGGCACTCGCCGCCTCGCACTGAGCAGAGACTCCCCGCCGGTTCTCCTCCCGACTTCAGTTGCCAGCCTCTCCGCGGTTCGTCGATAACTCTGCGCTCCGTTAGAAGCTTTTTGAAGCGCTTGAGGTCTGTGACATGGATGATGAATCCACACCACGTCTTGTCTCAGGTGTTAACCGTTTTATTAACCGTTTGAAGACCGGTACTTTCTGGGCTTCAGAAAAAATCTCACGTCTCTTGAAAGTCTCGCGCATGGCTTGATGAAGGGATGTTGCCTCTTGGGTTTTCATGTGAAGGAAGTATAAAACATTCCCAGACTGGCATCACATCAGACATCAGGCGTCATCAGGCGACTTTAGATAATACGCGCAACTATTTCATGCACATTTATTTTCACTATAAGCGATAAGCACCTTCACCAGACTCTGTACCAGCCAGACCCGTTCCGATTCGCGCGATTAAATAAGTCTCTCAAGGTGAGACAGTCAAGGCATCCGGTACCTAGCTTTCACTCCTACGACCAGCATAAACAAGCAGTAAATCTCAAAGCGAAGTGAAACCGCCACATCCTGCAAGTTTGGACAGGTGTGAGTCTCTTCTTTGCGTGAGTCTCTTCTTCGTTGTCATATTGCACCATGACGAAGCACTGAGTGAGTTAGCATAGTAACACTTAAAATGCACTACTAATTATTAAAGCTACCAAGATGCGTAATGACCCGGATCACAGCAGCACCGTTCTAGGAGAGCTGAAGAGCACCTTGTTAGTCAGACCTCAGGAGCCGCCAGCACAGAACCGCCCCTGGCAGAGGACACCGGCCAAACTCTGGTCCAGCGCGCGCCGACAGCGTCAACATGTCAATACCGCGTCCACTGACGGCCCTGAACGGCGCACCGGCGTGGAGCGAGCCGGACCGACCTCTCCCACCGCGGACAACCAGCCTCTGCCGACCTCTCCAGCCGCGGACAACCAGCCTCTGCCGACCTCTCCAGCCGCCGTCACGGTCGTGATCCGTCCGCACGGCAGAGGCCAGCGGCTGCCGGCTCTAGTAGAGGCCCGCGGCAGAGGCCCGCGGCAGAGGCCCGCGGAGGCCCGCGGCAGAGGCCTGCGGCAGAGGCCCGCGGCAGAGGCCCGTGGCTGCCGGCTCTAGCGCCGCATCGACGGCCTCCGCAGCAGGTCGGAGACGGTACGGTAGCGGCACAGGATCTCGTCCCAGTCGATGTAGCCGCCCTCGAGCGTGCGCGTGCTGTCGGAGGTGACCGTGTAGCCCCGCCGGCCGTGCATCACGCGTCGGTTGTTGAACACCAGCACGTCGCCTGCGGGAGCGGAGCTGATGCTGACAGGCCCGGACACGGCACCCTGACGCTCATGTGGTTCGTGCTGCTGTATGTCCGGCCTTATAGACGCTCTTCAAGACATGATGGTTGGTTGTTAGTTACGAATTCATAGTGGTGAAATCTCCAGCCTCGGCACGGGCAGGTGTAAAACAAACGGCCCGGCAAGCGTCTTGACAGGAATTGTCTATGTTATTGTAAATCCATTGAGCACACATGCAGTATGGAAAGCGGTCCTCATAAATATGTACAGGCGATTTCTTTACTGCAATGATAGAATTTTCAAGCAAGAGCTCATTAAAAAACTTAGCCTAGAAATATCGTCAACCAGTGTAACCTACAAGAATTATTAAGTGGTTCAGACTTACCGTCTGCCATTTTATACAGCATGTGGTTTTCCTTCTCCATGCACAAGTCATGTAACATTTTCAGCCCCTCGTACATGGGCTTCACTAAGTCGAAAGGCACGTTCAGGCGGTATGAGCGGGTCGGGTTGTTGAAGCACACTTGGTTCACATTGCCTTCTCCGTCCGTTCTGCAACGAATCAAAAACAATAGGACGATTACCCCCAAGATAAAAAATAGAGCTTCAATGAGAACTGTGAACCCATCAGCGTCCAGGTAAAGCATGTGAAACTGCTACATAAGAGTAAAACGTTTCGATTTTGGGATATCCTACTTTGTCTTGTCCTACTTCTCGTGAATAACAGAACATTAGTCAACCTGTGTGACACGATTGGTAAATATATGATATCGAAGGAATGGGTTCGATGCCAAGACAGCTTTGCACGCAAACTAATCGAAGATTACAAAAAGGTGGACATTACAATATTTGACATTACAATATTTCTCGGCTGCAATAGCCGGGACGGTAGACAAATTTGAACATAAAAGTTGAGATGTTCGGCTACCCAATATGTAAGATGTATGGCAAATGTCACTGAAAGCACATGCACGGAGGCTCCGTTTTTTGTGTTTGAGAGCCATAGACTCTGACCTGTTATGAGCGCATGGTTTTTTGCGCGCTGCTTTTTCAGCGGCTGCGTAAAGCCGCGCCGGCGCTGCTCCTCGGGGTCAGCTGCGGCGGGTCGCGGGCGGTGCCGGTAGTGGCGGTTGTGATGTCGTGCGTGCGTGCGTGTGTGTGTGTGTGTGTGTGTGTGTGTGTGTGTGTGTGTGTGTGTGTGTGTGTGTGTGTGTGTGTGTGTGTGTGTGTGTGTGTGTGTGTGTGTGTGTGTGTGTGTGTGTGTGTGTGTGTGTGTGTGTGTGTGTGTGTGTGTGTGTGTGTGTGTGTGTGTGTGTGTGTGTGTGTGTGTGTGTGTATGTATGTGCGTGTGTGTGTGTGTGTGTGTGTGTGTTTTAGCATTCGCTGAGAACCATTTTAATCTCTACATGTAAAGAAGAAAAAATACCAGAACGGTTCAATATGACGAAGATTAAGGGCACACGGGGCGAGAGCAAGCACGGCCCAGATAAATGAAAGCACGTCATGACCAATACGATCACGTATGATAATCCAGGGCGATGACGCGCCCTGTCATGTGGTGTTTAAATTCCAGTGTGATAAGTAAAACACACATACACTTTCAGTGGTCACAGTTTGGTGAACCCTTTTACGTAACTAAGACATCTGCGACTGTGATGACGTCACTACCACATGCGCGACTGTGACATCGAACATGAATGTGCATGACAGCTTAGATTACATAAGGCTCTGGTCATTGGACGTCTCCAATCCCGAGGTCATAGCTATGCGAAGATGTCTTCGACGACTTTGGTTAAGTGCATCTATATATTGTTACTGTTTGTGTTAAAACCGCGCGCTGACATATTGCTATTGTTTGTGTATTGCTATTGCTATTGTTTGCCGTTGCATTCTGGCAGTTGACTCTCAAACCTTCTTTGATTAGGTTAACTTGTTAGTGACTGCACCAAGCTTACAACGTGGAACGCGTGCGCGAAGGACTGCCGGCATGTGTGAAAGTGACCGCCGGTAGAGGTGAAAAAGCTTCCGACTTATGGGATGTAATCGGTGACAAATGTGGGCGTTTTCGCGAGCTACTTGGTCACCAAATCGCGAAGATCGAGTCAAATTACTTTGATACGTGGTAGGCAGTTCGGTGGTAAGGACACGTCAGCTGCCTTGGCTATTTGCGCGAGAGATAATCAAATTTCAATAGGCCATCCTAGTCAAACGGTACTAAGAGCTTAGTGTTCATATCAACTCGCTAACGTTTGCAGCGTGTGCTTGCGCAGAACACGTGTTGGAACATTTTCATGAGCATGCTAGGACACCAAATGCTTCCAAATTACATAGTTTCCAACCGTATAGTTTCTAGCTGATGACAGAAGCATGCTACAAACTATTCTATATCAGCGCTGACGTCATAGATCAGTGCTGACAGTGTTCTTCCAATGCCCTGGGACGTTGAGATAAAGCTGTAAACTCCACTAAATGATCTCCAAAATGGTTATCTCAGTTCACCCAAACACCCACACTAATGTGAAGCACTCTCTTTAACCGGCGCAGGGGCGCTGGAGGTATGCACTAAAATGCGTGATCTTGCATCTTTGATATCTAAGTTGTGTATATTGCCATCATCAGGTGATTGAAGCCCATGTCTATCGGTAGATGTGGGAGAGATGTAGAGACGCAGCGGTGAAATGTTGCGATGCTATTACCCCCTATAGTGAGTACCAAGTGCTTGCAACTCCGTAACCACCGCCCTGACAGCGGGGAGGGGGCGTGTCGATGCCATTCCCCAACGGCGTTGTAAGGATGCCTTTCCGGCATGTCGTCCAGCCGCACTCAAATGTTTACCAGCCTGGAGCATCCATCGTGCGGTTTCCGTCTGGCATTCATGGCTCCGTAGCAGCGGTGTTTTTTCTAGGAATACTGTACGGCGAATTGCAGCTGGCACGGGCGCCGAGCGGCATTCACGATGCCGCGAAACGTCCGCTGCGGGCTGATATTATACATCATACATTATATGGTCATACATCATAAACTACGCTGAAAAACATGAAGCTCTGCAGCATTGCGCTCAATATGTAAATGGAAGTATACCCGTTTAGATTTTGTGTTGTTACGAGGCCTGGTCTCGTACATATTAGCGTATAAGACTGAAAAATGTAATGTTCGGGAAAATTTGACGTTTGACCTGGCTTACATAATGTGGTCAATCATTGATAAAGCAACATGAAACATACTACCGATCTAAGCATATCTTTAAATCCACCAGTGTTTTCCACTAAGTTCTTTCTTTCTTCCTTTGTAAATGGCAGATGGTCGCATCGATCCCTTCCCTCCCCCCACTCGTAAGTCCGCGCCAGGAAAAATGGCGAATCAGGGTGATGCGTAGTGCTGTGAGCGGTTATATGTTATATGTAAGCTACCCAAATGCTATAAGGAAAAGCCGCGATTTTGTTCTCTGAGCTACGCTGAAACCAGAAGTGCTGCTAAACACTAAACAGGGTCGTCATATGACGAAATGGACGCTGCACCGAAATCCGAAATAATCGAGCGTCCCCGCTAAGCACGATTCTTAATGCGGTTAGGTCACCCATGTAAGCCAGGCCAGTAAACAATTAGTTCAGTGCTGGATTTCCGTTCGTTAGTTCTAGATTGGAAAGCATTTCCCTGATGCGGATAATAGAGCCTAGAAATTTGAATTTGGAAGCCATGAAAAGCTATGGAATTTCATTTTGGGCACTACAGTTTTAGAGACGGGTCGTAGCTGCAACATGAAACAATAAAGTAGTTCTCAAATTAATATCATGCAGCTTATCACGTCGAGGAGAGTGTGCGATCTGATAGCAGAGCGGTGACGAGGGACTTTCGTGGATACATTGAACCATGCGAAAGCTGACACTGGTATCTCTCAACGTGCCGTAAATGGCGCATGGGTTTTTTACGTGTAACTGATGGTCGCAATACGGCCGTTGACGACACATGCTCACACCTTTCTCCACACATGCGACGTCTTAGGTCCGAACCGACCTTTGAACGGCTCACCGGCCTTAAGCACGCTGCGCCGGCCACCCGCGCACCTGCGCGCCTTTGGCATGCCCAGCAAATGAGACTTTGGTCAGCATATGAAAGTCTTTAAGCAAGCACAGCCACAATGCTAATGTTTGGCATGTTTATGACGCATTGAATTTAATTCATACTTGTCTTGCGTAGTTTATCGCATTTTGTGTAGGTTATCGCATCGCAAGTTGTATCACAACGGTATCGTATGGATATGGCTCCATGTGGCCATTCAGGCTGTTGCAAATTTGGTCAGTGAAAGAAAGGGCACTTTTTCACCCCTAACCTCTGAAGGTCCTGAACCCCTCTCACCCTTGAAAAGTAGTGAGATACGCGACACCCACTGTCGAAAGATGAAGCTTACATTGCGGCCGGACGCGCGGAACCGAGAGTGATATCGGACCACGAAAGTGCTACCGGACCACGAAAGTGTTATCGGACCACGAAAGTGACATCGGACCACGAAAGTGATATCGGACCACGAAAGTGATATCGGACCACGAGAGTGATATCGAACCACGAGAGTCATATCGGACCACGAAAGTGATATCGGACCACGAAAGTGATATCGGACCACGAAAGTGATATCGGACCACGAGAGTGATATCGGACCACGAGAGTGATATCAAGTGAATCGCGAGTGATATTGAACGACAAGAGTGATATCGAGTGAACCACGAGAGTGATATCGAACCACGAGAGTAATATCGAGCGACCCACGAGAGTGACATCGGACCTGTACTCGCGAGATTAACAACATCAAGGCATCAAGGCACGAGACAGAGTTGAGCAGGACGCTTAAGACGGATCGTCGAAGGAAGAAATCGACGCTGGGGCTGAGCCCAAGGAGCCCACTGTCGGAGTACCAGCACCAGTTTGCTATCCGAACGGAAACACGAAACTGACTGTCGACGTCGAGACTGCCTGATTTGGCAAGATGCAATGATTGGGCAATGTGGGCTCGTGTGCCAAAGCCACACGCACGAGACTGTCGATCTGGCCACGGCGCCTCCAGCGGTGTCACTCGCCTAAACACGGTGTGCTCCTGGACCTTGTGGAAGCGACAGTCTTGGTCCTCCTCTTTCTCGACGCCGACGTCGTCGAACTCGACAGGCATGGCGGACATCAGCTTGAAGAGGTCGGGCCGCTGCTGGCGGATCAGCTCGGCCACGTAGAAGCTGTCGGCCAGCGTGTTCTCGCCGCCGCTCCCCACGTGCTGGGAGATGCAGTGCAGCATCTGCACCTGCCGCGGCCGCCAAGGAAGACTCGGTCAGCACTTGAGTACATATTTCGAATGGGGTTTGGGCGCGGAGCACCAAGAGCTAGATGCTATGCCTGCAGGACAAAGAGCGGAACACGCTCTCAAGTCTGCGTATATGGCCATGGCCCCCGGAACACCAAATCATCATCATCCAGAGGCAACAGAGCACGCTTAGCTTGCCAGAGTGTGACGTTTTTCAGTATGTCACGATGGCCCGTGGCGAAGCGTTGAGCAATGTTTCATACATGCTCCTTCAAAACACTAGATTGTCGCGCAATAACCTTTACGTTGACAGGCCATGGAGGCTCCTTGTAAGTTGACGGGAGGTGCAACGGCTAGAGCACCAGACATTGCCCCTGCAGTCGACTCTGGCGTCATTTGCCATTGCTGGTTGACGCATCATGGGTCGCTGGGTTTCGCAGTAACAGCCACCAACTTATACCGGAAAAATCCAGTTCATACTGGTAATATCCGGGTATTTGTTTATTTGGACCAGCACAGCCGCTACGACGTTTGCAGACGAGCCCCGGAACAAAAAATGCATATGCGACGTTGCTTTGAGCAGTCGTCGTGAGTCACGTGACTTGATAGTGACGCGCCGTGCATACGCTCAGGGGCCAAGAAAGCAGCGCCTGGCAAACACATGCCCACGACTTCGCGGTGAGCGAAACGCTTGTCATGACACAGGCCACAAATATAAGACATTCATCCATATGCAGGTTATCTCAGCCCTCTGCCATGTTTCTCCCTCTATGAGCCAGGGGTTTCTAAGCCGCTGCGCCGGCCAGGGGTTTCTAAGCCGTTTTAGCACGTCAGGATCGTTATCTCTAAAACTAGGAAAACTGAGCTCAATTAATGTCCAGCTCAGACTACGACTGTAGACAAACTTGGGTAATCAACTGCGCGCATATGATTCCCCAGCGAGTTAAAATTAAATGGGGCGCACATTTTTGTTAACCATATACTTTAATGCCTTGTGTTTGTTTTGTTTTTTTTACCCTCGACGCATAGCATGCCTGTTGCTTAAGAGGAAAGCATTGTAACCACAGGAGGACCGGATGAACAAACAAAAGAATTCGCACCAAAGCTTTCAACTTCTAGGAAAATTTGATGATGGGTCAATATGTAAAAGTGACGCGATAATTAGCCGCAGCCAGTTGTAGCGAAGTCCATTGACTGTTTGCGGTGTAACGAACACTTAAGAGGTCGGCGAGAGCAGCTTCAACAACAAGCTAGAGCCTGATAGTGTTGTTAAGTTAAATTGACATACTGCATTAAGCTTCTCGTGATAATTTTTACAGATTTATACAGTCTTATTTCTTTTACGCATTCCCAAACGTGTTACTGCACACCGGAATAAAGTGCATGACTCCGCATTTGTTCAGCCTGTGGGTAAGGTCACTTCGGGGATAGACACTTCTCGGCGGACGTTGCCAATGCTGCACTCACCCCAGGGATGTATTCGTAATAGGGCTGGTCCAGGTGCAGTGACAGGGTCTCGCTGGTGTATGCTAGATTATTGGCGTCCAGCTTGCTCATCACTCTGAATGTCTTCCTGTGGGCGTAGCAGACGTGATCATCTATTAACTGCCAGAGGCAGGTAATTTACTTGATACGGTTAGTTCAACCAGTTTAACAGGTAGCCATCAGACAGCTTACGTAGATGTTGCATCGCTCCAAATGGCAGTACAATGACGAATATATCTTCGAGTCTGATGTATGCTCTTCGCCCGAGAGTTAGTGTAGGCACCCGCGAACTACACTCGTTAAAGCCTCGCGTCGTGCAAAAACCTCAGTCGCTTGCTTTAAGCACGCCCATGTCCGTGGCCATGCTTGTATACACCAAACGTCAATCATGTGAAACGTTCTGACGTTCGCCAGACCTAGACAACGACACCAAAGTAATCTCCGAAAAGCGACCAGCATGGCATTGCGCACTTCTTACGCGGGAAAGGTTCAAGGCGACACGACTTCGACAAGGTCTACAGCACTTGGCCGCACAGAAAAACATGTTAGCCCTGGTCCTGCACTAGCTGCAGCCTCGCCACAGGTGCTGGTGGCTGGATGCTGCGGGTTGTTGTGGCCGACAGCTGACAATGGCCCCCCGTCTGGACACTGCTCTCAACGGGGCTTCAAATGTGTTCCCCGTGAACAAACTCACTCGCACAGCCCTTCTGCGTAAGGGACGGAGGTGTCATGTAGGGCGATTACTTACCCCTTGTCCCCATAAGAGGCGAGGGAAGGGAGTTGACGCAACCTCCTACGATTTTTGAGAATAGCTCTCCGTTCTATGGGATAATTGCGCCCAAATTTTCAGTAGCCTCCGGGTAATTCATTGAGCGTATTTTCATGGTAAAACGTCTCGAACTTTCTGGTTTGTTAGCTGTAACGGTATTTTAGGAACACTGCACGGCTACCCATGGCCGGTACGGGCGGCTGACGGAAACCGACGAACTCGCCGACGAGAGAGACGGGCCGACAATACTACATGAACGGAGCCCTGCATCTTGCATATTTGTTCAAAACACAAACAACGATACTTTAAGTGTTCCTATTTAAAAAAGGGACAGGCCTGTGTGAGTTGCATGGTGTTGTGTGACGTAGTTCACAACTAAGTCGTGAAAAGCCGAAGTCGGTAGATTTTCAAGAAAAAACGACATTTGACCTCCCCTAGTGGTGTCAGTCATTGACCGTACAGCATAAAAAGTGTTAATAATCGTGAGTCACGAGATTTTATTCCGATCAATCCACTATTCGTTTTCTTCGCGAGGCTCTATTTTCGTTAGCTTGGAAACGACAGGAGGATCGCATCGACACCCCCTCCTCACTAGTCCGCCTTATGAAAAACTGCGAATTCGGACGAGGATTAAGCAGGCGACGACATTTGTGGCAGTTAGAAGTACGGCACCAGGCCGCCTAAGTCTTACATTAACTGTAGGAAAAAATTGACATAATCACCCGGCCGCTGCTGGTGCGGCGTCCCTAAAAACCAACATCTTGATGGCTTCTTATCGCAAAACATTACAGTTTTTAGCAGTAAGAATTGCCGGTCGTAACATATCGTTATGTCTATCTGTTCGGATATTTGCCAAAATATCTTAGATTAGGAGATCATTTCCTGCAACATGCCGCGTTTAACCAAATATGGTCTTTCTACTCGATCAACACAAGGAGCGAGAAGGATGCGAATTGCGCAGAAAATGCACTAAACAAGTCAAAGCCTGGTTCGTAGGCCGTATGTTGACGAACCAGCGTACGCTTCAGACCGATACACTTGGACAGAGAAGACAGAATTTTGTACTGACAAAGTGTAACTTGCTTTGCTCAGCCGATCACGCAGTGGACTCAAACCATGGGCGCCCGTTACGGGGCATTTTAAGAATTGGTCAGCTCTCGGCAGCAAGGGAAGATACCGCTGTGACAAACATCGCTCGGCTGATGCGCTAAGTGTCTGTAATGATGCAGCAAATGCGGTAACGGGCCAATGTCGCGTTTTCCTAAGCCGGTCTCCAGCACAAGATGCTGCAGCATAAGCCATACGAGATTCACCATGAAAGCTACAAGGTCGTGCAGCTCAAATTACGTCATCCGTCCCATTTCCTGAAGGCATCTCACTGGTGACTGTTTTGGCTGTTGTGTTGCAAATGCACCCAGAAATGCATTGATCAATCCTGGCACCAACCCATATAGATGTAACCGAACGTGTACCACACGGACTGCGACGGCACGCCTGGAACGAATACGCAGCCACCATAGCTACCGTTCATGTTATTTGTAGTGTCTTATTCGGGTGTCACCGCCTTATCCATGATGTGTCACCTTGGCATGACCGTCAATGTCATCCTGGCGTGGTCATCTTGAGCGTGGTGTGTCATTCTGGTATGGCCGCCTCACCCGTAGTGTGTCATCCTGGTGTGCCCGAGGCGGGAGGCGATCTCCTCCACCACGCCGAACCGGATCGGGGTGTTGCGCACCACCAGCAGGCCGTGGGAGATGAGTCGGTGGAGCGTCTCCCGCAGCACGCTCAGGTCTCCGAGCAGCTCCTTGTAGTCGACCTTGAACAGGCTATGCTCCATGGCGGCCCGGTCCCACAGCACCGTCTGCAGGACGGTGGACGGCAATTGACGCTGGTTAGCCTTTCAGGTAAGGGCACTTGCGGGTGCTGGAGAGTTACTTCCGTATTGACGCCTGCATTCCCTGCATGCATCACAGGTGGCGTGGCTACCAGTTAGCCCTTCATGTTAAGGCCAATGACCTTTATGCCTTTCTTAGAAGGCATGCTTTTCTCAACCATTCTAAAATCCAGACAGGCGTGTCGGATTGTAAGGCCAAATTAAATTTCGCACCTGTCAAGCAGGATAGTGAAGGGCCAAAAATGGCACAAGCTCATGTGTACCCATTTTTGCACACACACTCAAGCCACGTCCACATATTTGTGGGCTATGCATCGCGGGCGGCCACATGACTCACAGACCTGTAATGTCAGTCTTCAGCAAATACAGACACAATCAATCTGCTGGGAAGTCGCACTGTCCTACACATGGCGTCAAGCACCATCCAGGCCGTCCATCACTTTCCATCAAACGGGCACAATGTCTCTCCGCACCATTCATTGTCTCTAGTCACACAGTCACAATGTCTCTCCGCGCCATCCATTGTCTCTCATTACACGGCCACAATATGTTGACATACCGAGCCACAAACTCATCAAACAGAACCACAATCTCTTGTCAAACGTAGCCATATTTTTTGCACATACAACCACAGTGTATCAATTCACAAACAAAATCACAATACAAATACACAAACCATATATATCAATACACACAAATTGGTCACACACAACCACAATCTATCAATACACGAAGATGTGATATAGCCACAGGCATTAATTCCCTGGCGCATGGCCCTAATGGCTCGCAGGATTCATGGTCCCTCACCTCATAGTAACTCGCCACAAACAGGCGCAATCTCTCGCCTCACGTAGTCACAGCTCACCACACACAGTCAGAGCTCACCACACGCAGTCACAACCTCTCACCACACACGAAGCCAGTCTCTCGCCACACACAGCCACAATCTCCTGACACGTGCTCACACTCGCTCGCCATACTGGCCGCCTGTCTCTCGCCACACACAGCCACAATCTCCTGACACGTGCCCACACTCGCTCGCCACACTGATCGCCAGTCTCCCGCCACACACATCCACAATCTCCTGACACGTGTCAGTACTCGCTCTCCACACTGGCCGCCAGTCTCTTGCCACACACAGCCACAATCTCCTAACACGTGCCAGCACTCGCTCGCCACATTGGCCGCCAGTCTCTCGCCACACACAGCCACAATCTCCTGACACGTGCCCACACTCGCTCGCCACATTGGCCGCCAGTCTCTCGCCACACACAGCAACAATCTCCTGACACGTGCCCACACTCGCCCGCCACATTGGCAGCCAGTCTCTCGCCACCCACAGCCACAATCTCCTGACACGTGCCCACACTCGCTCGCCACATTGGTCGCCAGTCTCTCGCCACACACAACCACAATCTCCAAATCCCCAGCACCTCCTCCCATGCAGCCGCGCGCCCTCACAGCCCGGCCATCTTCAGGGGCAGCAGAGCGGCGCTGACCCTGGGTCCGGCCTGCTCCTTCTTGCGCTCCTTCAGCTGCTGCGGCGTGAACTGGCGCTGGCCCAGCCAGTCGTGTGGGAAGCGGGAGACGTGGCCGTCCGGCCAGGTGATGACTACCTCCTGGGCATCCGGGTCGTTCTGCAACAGCGCAGTCGGAGAGCGTAGTCGCGTGGTGTGTTGGCGGGGTGTCTTTGGTCGGTATTCGAAATGTAGCTAGCCGAGATTTTGTTAGAAAAAGGACCTCGTGCTCTCACATTGATGTTGAAAGCACACACGTATTCTAAATCTGTCTTTCAAATGCATTTGACCTGCCAGAATCTGTGCTCGGAGTTGACACCTGAATTTTTACACCCCATCTGCACGTCCGTCTCAACACCTGATCCTGTCCAGCTGCATCATCCGTGCACACGCACCCGAACAGAGCGCGGAACGATGCCGACGTCCAGCTGGTCGATGCGCAGCTTGCGACTCAGCGCGCTGGGGTGATAGCAGCCAGGGCAGAGGCAGCTGTCCCGCAGCCACACGTATGGGAACTGGCCGACATCGCCGTTGTTCCAGGTCAGGTCGACGCTACCGACGTCGCGGTTGTCGGCCGCCTGCTCCACGTGCCAGACCGGCCGGGGCGCCCCTGTCGCAGCAGGGCGGATCGTGAACCAAGGGTCGCCGTCCCGAGAGCTGTGCGGACACCGCCGCTTGCTGTCTAGACACCGCCGTTAGTTACCTACGGAAAATGGCGTATTCTTTTTACAGAGCCGGGATGCTGGCCCTCCACTGCCCGTTGCCGTGATGGGACACTGCGGACATCACACATTATCGTGATGCGACACTGCGAACATCACCATCGTGATGCAAGAATGCGATCATCACCATCATGATCCTACGCTGCGAACGTTACCATCGTGATGCAAAAATGCGATCATCACCATCGTGATGCGACACTGCGAACATCACCATCGTGATGCGACACTGCGAACATCACCCGTCAACGCGGTGCGGCACCGCGGACATCACCCGTTACTGTAATGCAACGCTGCGGATATCACCCGTTCCGTAATACGACACTGCAGACATCAGCCGCTACCGTGATGTGACACTGCGGACATCACCCATTATCGTGATGCGACATTGCGAACATCATCGTGATACGACACTGCGAACATCACCCGTCAGCGTGGTGCGGCACTGCGGACATCACCCGTTGCTGTAATGCAACGCTGCGGATATCACCCGCTGCCGTGATGCGGTACCGAGGACATCACCCGTTATCGTGATGCGACACTGCGGACATCACCCGTTACCACGGTGCGACACTGCGGACATCACCCGCTACTGCGATGCGATACCGCGGACATCACCCGCTACCGTGATGCGATACCGCGGACATCATCTGTCACTGGCCAGCGACACAGTTTGGCCGCCGGCCGTGATCAGTCTGTGGGACTGGCGTGCCACAGTTCGCAACTGGCCGCCCTGTAACACTACATGGGCCTGATCTGTTACTGATGGCGCGGCCACGTCAGCTCTCAGGACATCCACCGTGAGTACTGTGCAGCATTTGCAAATTCGACGGTGTCAAACGTACAGGACGGCGAAGGAACAAGAACAACCACAGCTTTGGGAGAGGCTTCCATTTAACTATGAGCATGAGTCCATGCGTGGCCAAATCCCCGAAACAGCCTCCTGAGAACGGAAAAATGATCAACGGTTACAGTAAAAAGGCAGTAAAATTGCTCGCAGTTGATTTTACATCCATAGTGAAATGTTTGCAAACAAGCCTCAGGTCCCGCTAGGTCGCAGAACCATGGCTACCATAATGTGCCATGATATGTTTTTACATTATCGCGAGCGTGTGGCGAATATTTTTGACCTGCTGAGATCCAGTGTTACGTCAATCGGCCAAAGCTTTCAGTCCACCGGACATTTTATTGTCCTATTTTTCCACACATTTTCCAGACAAGTGATGCCTGGCATCTATGAATTACTGATTTTTTTTTTTATCTCACCGGCCTCGCAAACCAGGCGACATAAAGTAATACAATATCACATGAGGAGCGGACGCTTAACCAGTAGCATAGTACAAACGTAGCTGCCCCGGGCGCGTGCCCCACCCCGTTACCAAATTTATGGCACGCATTGATATGTGCGTGACTTGATATGGATGGCATAGAATTGCATGTAGACTCGTAAGAATAAAAAGATCAAGAAGATGCGATGGTATTTTAAGACACGCAAGAAGTTGTGCGCGTCTGCTGAGCGCTTCACTCGGTTGCAAGTGGATTTTTTTAAATTGTACCCCTGTACCCCGGTACTCCTCAGGAAGTTCTGCATACACCCCTGGCTCAAAGCGTTTTCAGGACTTGCTAATTGTTGCATCTTCCGCCCGGGATCGTACAATTCAGTTGAGGGAGTCCAGCCTCCTTCCCCAAAGTGGGCTCCAGTCCTACTACTTTTGAGAAGAAAGGGGCCAAATCTGGCGAGAAGCACGTGTATTCGTTTATTTTGGGGACAGTTTTGGTGAATTCTCACTGCTCAGCCTTCAGTGCATCATTCGCAGCTGCTAGGTGGGGCATAATTTTTATCATATGTTGCTTGGTCACATAGAGCAGTAACAGTGAGTTTCAAGCACAGTTCGTACTGCAGGACAGTTTGGTCGGGAAAATGAACAATACCATCGTCATTTTATTCGCACTTCGTTCGTTTCACTTGGCCGCAAGTTTGCGGGGTGGTTGGCCCAAGTGAGCTTAATACTTCCTAGATTTGGTTAACTCTTTTTGAAAGATGCATGGAAAATAGCCTGGTGTAAATGAAAATACCCAGCTGACCGAAACCTGTCAACAATAGGCTGAGCAACGGTCTTCAGCGCAACGAATGCAGCAACGATCTGGTCTTGGAAATTACTTTGCCGACCTCGTGTGGTATCATGTACCAGCATACTGGTCGCCTATCAAGTTCGATGACATTCCCAAGGCCAAAGTGCGCCTCGAAGAGTCGCAATTTTGCGACTCCGCGTCTCAAGTGTAATGTTTATATGATCTGGAGGGTCAATGGCTCCGCCAAAGGATCCAAGCTGGCAGCATCATGCTCTTTAGACACCACACTATCCGTCGGTTTTGTTAAGTTTTTTACGATTAGCGACCAGATGGCTTTGGGCGTGCCTAATCTCCTACTCGCTAGCGACGCGAGTGAGAATGGCCGCCTCCCGACGGAGCTAAAGGAACTGAGCCAACGTGCTGTTCTGCATTGTACGGAGATCTGGTGTCGCCCTTTCTAAAACAGAGCGCTTGTCGGGAAACACGCTTTACCGAAACATTTTCCGGCTCCGCCTCGCAGCTCGTGGGGCTATTTCCACTCCGACTCCGTCTCGCAGCTCGTGCGGTTATCTCCATTTCGACTCCGTCTCGCCGTGCGGCTATTTCCATTCCGACTCCCTCTCGCAGCTCGTGCGGTTACTTCCATTCCGACTCCGTCTTGCAGCTCGTGCGGCATTTCCATTCCGACTCTCTGCGCAGTACACAACAATTTTGGGTCTACTTCGATTACTTATCACAGCGCCTGGGGAGGAGTCAGATTCTTATTCGGAGAGGCACAGGACAGCCCCAAAGTGGCTCCGATTTTATGAAGCCGTAAAACAAATCATCAACAAGATATGGTTTACTCCTGGAGACCACTACGATGGAGTCATTTGGATTCATAACAATTCAGAAATGTTATGTGGGTGATATAATAGCATGTATGTCACACAACACACACACACACACACACACACACACACACACACACACACACACACACACACACACACACACACACACACACACACACACACACACACACACACACACACACACACACACACACACACACACACACAACACACACACACACACACACACACACACACACACACACTACATACATACACCTACAAATACACACCCGCATATATGTGTATATACATATATACATATATATATATATATATATATATATATATATATATATATATATTACGAAATAGTAATGTAGATACTTGATCAATTCCTCCATACATATAAGAGCTGTGACAATAAGAATATCTGTCACCAGTTACAGATATACTTAGGTTGATTCATTGTTAACGTCAATACGGCAACCCCATTCCAACACACGTAGGTGTTGAAAACCATTGACTACGCGCTAAAGTAACCTAAATTCTGTTGATTCCACGGTTAACTCCCCTTCCGTCGGGTCTCAAGCACAGGTGCGATGACCCAGTCGCATGCTCCCAACAAAAATCACTGAACAAAACCTTTACAACCAGGCCACTCATTGCGTATCACATGCGTACTCTGAAAGTCTGCCTGCGAGCGCCACATGTCGTGGAGTACGAATGTGGCATGCGGTGAACCTCGGCCGTTACCCGAATTAAATAGATGAACTGTATGCGGACAACGCAGCCAAGTTTGTCTATTGGAATAGCTCGTATACTTATTGGAAACTTTTGTTCATTGAGAGGGCTGAGATCCCCGTCATACAACTTAGAAGATATTCCCGGACCGACAGTTCATCCGCGTCACGTTCGTTTTGTCTCGGCCGCTTACGGTCCAATGAGGCGTTAGTCAAGTTTACTCGTCAGTTATGGGTTCACCACCAGATACAAACGTTGTTGCGATATAAAACACGCCAAGAAGTACCCATTCTTGGGCTTTTCAGTCTAAGAATACCCCAAGGAAAAAGATGACTGCATTGTTGACGCGCCTTTAAGCCCAAATAACGGCCGCAAGGATACGGCTTGTGATAACCGTCCCGTCTCTATCCCGTCCCCTGTGCATGCGTACCTGCGGGCAGCGCGCTGTAGGCGAGCCGGCCGGCCTGGGCCAGGCCGGGCTGGTCGGTCCGGCCGGCGCGCGGCCCGCGCGGGTCGCGGCCCGGACCGGTCACGGCCGCCGTGCTGGCCAGCCGGCGACCCACCATGCCGACCAGCAGCTGCATTCGGCGCGCGCACCGGCTGACGGACGCCATGGTGGACATCCGGCGGACGGCGAGGAGCTGATGAGACTGGCCGCCGCCGCACCCGGGGACTGGTCGGGCTCGCGGCCACGGGGAGGGGAGGGGTGGGCGGCGCGTGCGCAGGTCTGAAAGGTCAGAAGTCTGTCAAGGGATCCGAGAGAGGGACGCGTGGTTAAAGGTTATACGTCGATGATATAGCAGGCTGGAGCAAAAAAAGCTTTGTGAATAGCGCTGGATTGACTTTTTTGTCGTAACAGAGCACTTAATATAGATAATTGGTGTGATTTCCACGCACCATAATCATACCGAGCCCTCTAAAATCAGTTAGAACAAGCTGAGTTGCAAGTGAAGTCAAAGCTGCCTGTATCCAAAGCTGTTGTTGTAACTACGAGACAAACGGGGTGATCCGGTAATTCAAATCAAACAATCCTTACCTGCAGCTGAATTATTGTCGCGTCCTGAGATCGTCGCATTTTTAGATCGGTATGATTTAGGGCCTGCTTTACCGCATTTCTCTGAGTTATTGCGAAATATATTCCAAAACGACTGCCAAATATATCAAAAAACATTTCAAAAGAATATTTCGTCAGTGAGCCATAACGGATCAAAAACCTTACTAGCAAGGCCGCTGGCCGAGCGACTCTTGATGTCAACAATTGGAAATGCTGTAGCTTCAGGGGCTTAGCTCAACCGGGCCTGGTCTGACCGGTCACGCATTTGAGGGGGTTAGATGTTTGCAACCACTCATTGCACCAGAACAACATTTTCGGTAACAAATGGCACCATTTTTCATAGGTTTTATTGAAATACAACCAAGGCACTTTTAGGCAGCTTGATCCGATGGTGATTTTCTCCATCGACCCAGCATTGACAATATTTCAGCCCCTCACCCCCCCCCCCCCTCTCCCTCCTATTCCATCGACATGATAAATCTAACATTTTTAAATAGAAGAAGGCTGAAGGATGCGGGTCGAAATAGGTTTGGATTGTGTCGCCCATCGTCACGGTAAGATGAGACTAATTAGAACCAGTGGGGAAGAAAAACGGACAACGGTAATGACAAAAGCGTGAGATGATGTTTGCAGAGCATCCAGTCCAATGGTGCGCAAACAATGGATCCGATTTCGGGCGTTTTTATGAATTGTGTCAGATCTGCGCAACCAGGGTAGGTAAAAGCATGCAACGAAGTGCACGGTCTAGTGCAAGTACGGTCTGCAAGTCATGAAAGCGAGAGCAGCACTGTCTGACATGTATGTGCAATGGCCATCGGCCGGGAACCAGACAATGTTGCCTGATCCCAAATTGGTCTAAAATGCTACACTGTGGTCAACTTTGGCACATCGGGTCATGCAAATTACACATGCGCACGTCTAAGTCTATTCTAACAGATATGCTCAACATATGATGGTAATTTTCAATGTTTTTTTCACACTCACCACAACCATGGACTGTTCAAAGTACATTCACTTTGTTTATATAAATTGCCAGAGCATGCCAAGCCCAGTCAGCAAACATTACAGCAAGTTCAGCCGTAAGTTTGTGCGGCGCGATTGCTAAATACAAGACTCTGTATGCTCAACCCATGACGGAAGGATATTTGAATGCTAGGTAAGTTTTATCTGTATGCATTCCCAAAGACGACAGAGCACATCCGCTTGTTTGGTTATCATATGAATAGCAAAAACAATCACGTCTGCTATCACTTCCACGCAGTAAAAGGCGTCAAACGCAAGTCACCCCCTCCGCCCCCCCCCCCCCCTCCCACATCTCACACAGCAAAAGGCGTCTTACTAATCGGTCAAGTTAGCGCCGTATTCGCATTCGCATTCCGTGTTGCGTTCATATTCCCAAAAGCGAATTCCTATCGTCGAACCTAATTAGTTACTTGCGAATCTGCAGTCCACTTTTCTCCAAGTCATTTAGTTTGACCTCTACACGTAAAGGAATGTTCAAACTTAAATGCCTGCAACTCCTTCGTTTATCAGGAAATCCAATAAAATGAGTGTTATATTGTTGTTCGTGATGTCTGCCTTCGTCACATTTGCAAAACTTACTTCCAAGATCAAAGGTCAAGACCACAAAACGCGGTACCCTGGGATCTATTCGTTTGCTGATGAATACCACAGAAGGGTATCATATCAACTATCTGGGTGTTTACTTTCGTCACACTTGAAAACTCACATTCAAGGTCAAAAGTCAGATCACAAAAACACGGTACACCAGCATTCATTCGTTTACTTAAGAAATACAACACAATGGGTATCAAAATATTGATCCTAATATCTTCTTTTTTCTACTAGGAAAAATACAATTTCAGATCACCGGTCAGCGTCACAAAAACGCAGTACCCTGGTATTTACTTGTTTACTGAAGAGTTCGCTTTCTCTCTACCAGAAAAATCTAATTTCAAGGTCACAGGTCAACGTCACAAAAACGCATTTCCCAGCGTGTATCTGTTCACTTAATAATTAGAACAAAATATGCATCATTATTTTTATTTATTATTGCATCACATCATCATTTTAGTCCGTCCCGGTGGCTCAGTTGGTTAGAGCGCCTGCCTCCCGATTCATCCGCCCGTGGCGGGGTGGGTTCGAGTCGCTTTAGGCGCCCGCTATTTGCCCTTGACAGATATGGCCTGCGGCTGGTGGCAGCGGCCGCGCTAAAGGTCAGTTGACGTCAGAGGGCAGGACGGACCGTGCTGAGCATTGTGGCACGTTAAGCTCTCGCCACTAAATTCTGCCGTTGCCTGGAATTGCGCGATCGGATGGTAGGGGTCAGGGCTCACACAACAAGCACTGCTTAGCGTGAGCGCTGATCCCAGAAATCCGTCCATTCAAAGGGTTCGGATCAAATTTTTTTAAAAATCATGGCGACGCGCAGGACGCGAATTTTCATCACGCTTGGAAAAACTAGCTTTCGAGGTCAAATTTAAGGTCACTTTAAAGATAGTTCTCTGAAAATCATTTGTTTGCTTCAGGAATACAACAAAGTGGGAATCGCAGTGATGTCCGTGGTGTCTGCTTTCGTGGCACATGGAAAGACCAAGCCTGAAGATCAAAGGTCAAGTTTTTGTGACCTTGAAGTTCTATCTTGAGAGTTGTTCCTCCATTTGTGTCGAAATCAAAGATCACGAGCAACACCATGGTGCCTATGTTGGTGTATTTCTTAACTGAACTAATAAATCCCAGGGTACCGCGTTTGTGTGTGGCCTTGGCCTTTACCCTTTGGAGTGAGCTTTTGATTGGGCGGCGAGAGTGCACACCCTTAGCATCGGTACAATACCCTTGTGTGATATTTAAAAAACAAATAAATGCCGGCGTGCTTGTTTTTTGTTATCTTGACCCTTAGAATTTGACAGGTAGTTTTCCAAGAGTGTACGAAGGCAGACATCCTGAAAATTAATATGATGCCCCTTTCTGTGGTATTTCTAAGTAAATGAATAAATCTCAGGGTACTGCGTTTTTGTGATCATAGTCTTTGATATTCAGGGTTGGATTTTTCCGAGCTTGACAAAGGCAGAGGCATCACGACACTACCATGAGACACATTTTGTTTATCTCTTAAGTAAACGAAAAAATTCCAGGGTGTGCTGCGCTTGTTCTGACCTTGACCCTGAGCACTGAACGTTAGTTTCTCAGGTGTGTAACGAAGCAGACATCACGAGTGCTACTGTGATACCCATTTTGGCTGTATTTCTTAAGTCAAACGAATAAATGCCAGGTTGTCGTGTATGTGTTACGTTGACCTCTGATCTTGATTTTTCTCAAGTGTGAAGAAATTAAAACATCACGAGCATTAATATGATGCCCCATGAACTGGATTTCATCGATAACAAAGGAATGACAGGGGTACCAATGGTTTGGCATTTAGTGACATGCAGAGGTCAACCTCAATGACTTGGGAAGAGATAATTGCAGATTTGTGAGTAACCAGTTAGGTTTGACTTAAGGAGACTGCTTTCAGAGACTCGTGACTGTCTGAATAGCTGTCACATGGATGTGAACGCAAACTACAAACGATTTGGCCAGAAACTATGGGAAGTTCAATAGAAGTCGGCAGTATTTTGCAACCCACATGCCCTCGAATTTCCATCGAAAAATAGCAATGGTCCATCGATGCGGCTCATGGCCAAAGCAGGCCACTATACTTTCAAAGTCCTGTGATGAAGGATTGCTCACTGATAAAAACAAAGCTCATGTCACGTTCTAGCATGTCATCCATGTTAGATGGGGCTGGACACACTAACCAGTTTTTCTGACATTTGGCTGTAGAGTGTGACGTATTTCGTCTTGTCTCCTTTACAGTTCAAGCACTACGTACCTGCGGACATTGGGACACAAAAAAACAACTGACAAACGTTTATGGTTTCGCACACTGCGCCTTGCATGTCATGCACAAAACGTATTCTGTTTGTTTAGTAATGCACGCTGCAGCGTAATATGACAGATACGTTGGTCACTTTGGCACAGTGCTAAAAATGGCCAATATAGTACACCAGTTTCGCTGCAATACCGACGACTGTCCGCACCGCCCTAATGGTACCTACATAGGCCACGCGGCCAAGACCTTCGGCGGGCGCATCTGTAAGATGGAGGCCCTGGTCGTCATCTCAAGGTTCACCGCAGCCAGCTGAGTAGACTGGTTATTAATAACACCACCATCCTCGTCCATTGCTCTGACAGGCGGAAGCTCCAAGCGCTGACGGCAGTATACATGCGTGACAACGACCCTGTCATGAACCGCCAGGTCAACGCAGGGGGCACACTCCGCTTGTTGGCCTCCACGTACAGCCAGAATGGGATGATTTGCCATTCTGATGGTTCCTCCGGGAATCTTGAACGAACTCTCGTCATTTTTTGTTGTTGTCTGAATCACATCCATCGGTTCGTTGAGGCTTTTCCCCCGTGATCGACTTTCACTGAATTTATGTCTTATTGTGATTTACTGAGCAATGTGCAGATTAAACCACTGTATAGTGCTCATTGAATATTGTGCTTATTTATAATTGTCTGATTATGGCCATGTCGGACGAAGCGTTGCAAGCATACAAGTTATGTCTGTGTACATACATACATATATATATATATATATATATATATGT